AGCTGCCAGTAGATTACCCTGGGCCTCACCAATAGCTCAAGAACTGTGATTAGCAAACACGGCAGGAGATTTAACAGTTCCTCATGAATTGCGTGGTTCGGCCATAATTTTATCCTTTGACAAGTAGAAAAGCATCACAATTACTAAAAAAAATGTTTTCATTAGTAAACTGCTTTCCTCTTTTTTTGTGGATTGTCTGTTTGAGAGGCACATTCACAGAGAGGAAAGATGGAAGAGAAGCCTTCCACTCCACTGGCTCTACACCCCAAATGACCACATTAGCCATAGCTAAACAGATCTGAAGCCAGGCGCCAGGAACTTCTGGTTCTCCCATGTGGGTGCAGGGACCCAGGGAGCTTTGAGCCATCCTCCATTGCTTTCCCAGGCCATCAGCAGGGAATTTCATTGAAGTGGAGAAGCCAGGACTTGAACCAGCACCTTCTATGGGATGTCAGATTTTCAGGTGGAGGATTAGTACTCAGAAACCAGGCCGACCCTGTTTGCCTCTTCTTTTTCCTTACGATTTTTATTTATTAAAAAAAAAAAAAAAACAAATCTTATTTATTTGAAAGACCAGAGTTAAAGAGAGGGAAAGACAGAGAGTTCCTCTAGATGCTGGTTCACTCCTCAAATGCCCACCCCAGCCAGGGCTGGGTCAGGATAAAGTTAGGAGCCATCTCTCATGTGGGAGGCAGGGACGCATGTAGTCAGGTGACTTTGTGCTGCTGTCCCCAAGCACCTCTACAGGGACTCCAAGAAGCTGAGGAACCCAGACTCAAGATTTGAGAGCTAAACCATTGTGCCCAGGTTGGCCCTTAAAGCTTTCCTCTTAAAACTTGTAAATAATCTGTTTTTCTTATAAATGTATCTTTCACTCTAAATTTATCTGTTCCACCCTGTAAAATCATCTTGTAAAATCTGAATCATGAACTTGAGGCATCTACTTTTTTAAATTGGCAAAACAATTGGTTAGCACTGTAATAGGGACAAGTTAAAACAGTAAGAAAACACCATGGATTCGCCATTAGATAGGCTGGGATTCTCATCCCGGAACTGTAGCCTCCTGCATTGAGGGCTCTGGTTTGGTTCATCTCTGCTGCATGTGCCTTATGATCTATGAATGCTTTCAAACCTCCCAGGTTAACGGGATATATAAAGAAACGGAGTCTAGCACAACATATTGAACTGTTTTAAGAATGACCTTAAAATGATGCATCTTCTAGAATTAATAACTGAAAAACAAAGGCTACCTTTAAGAGACTCCAGCATCTGAGAACTTTCCAGACACGTCTGCTCAATTCAAAGGATTTTGGACAAAGATGCCTGCCAAAATACGTAACTGTGGGTTCTAAAAACTCAAAGGATGCTGAGGATAATTGCAAGAGTAACAGATAAGACCTTCACAGAAAATGGCTGCCCCCAAGGCTTCAGAGGAGCAAGGATTGGGGAGAAAAAAAATTCCAGAGCAGAAAGGCAGGTTGCTCAGGCTTAGCAAGGAGGGACAAGAATGTGGTTTATTTAAAGGAGAGTAAGGAATTCGAGTTCAGAAGAGGGAAGGGGTGTGGAGTAACGCTGGAGATAAAGAATGTCTGAGTACCTGAAACTCTAGAAGGGTAGAACCAGATTTGGAGAGGATCAGAGAGCAAAGCACAAGAATTTTCTCATTGTCCAGTCAGCAGTTAAGAAAAAAAAAAAGGTACTGAAGTTGATTTGATTATCGTAGGTCGGATTGATGCAACAAAAGCCTTCCAGGGGACAGAAGTGTACATTTTAAGAAACTGCAGATTTCACTACTGAAGCCAACCGCGCAGAGCCGAGGGCTGTCCTCTTCTCCGTCCGTGCCAAACTGACGGGCAGTTCTCTCCACGCTTGCTTTTCTAGCTGTGAAAAACGTAATGATCACTGTCTTCAGCACACATTCTGGGAGAAACGAAATCAGGTGTTATTCTCTAGATAAAGTATTTGACAATTAATTTTTTGAAATGTATGGCTAAAGTGAAAACAGTTAGATTGTAGACTTTTCCTCCTGTGAATTTGTCAGTACGCACTTGAGGTTCATCTTAAAAATACGGAATTAGGAAGGGAACTACGACCCCCAGGCACTGTACAGTGAAGAAACTTAACCATCCATCCGCAGAGTGGGCTATTCAATATTCTCAGGGAGCTCATTAGAAATGCAAATTAGTTGACCCCACCCTAAAGCTATAGAGTCACAGGCCCCCGGGGTGGGGGTGGGGCCAAAGAAAACTCTGTTTCAGTAAACTCAGGTGATTCCAGGGCTGGCTGGCTGAAGTCTGAGAAGGACTCTCCTGGAGGAATTCCTGGGGTACTGTAGGAAACCTTGCAGAGGTCTACTCAGTGCTATGACGGGGAGCAACTGACAGACACAAACTCTCCAGGGCTGCAGCCGTGTTCCGGAAGGGAAATAACAGGATTACAGGTAAAGTAAGCTTTCTTCTTCTAGATCACTTCTTTCGTTGTTTTTAAGATTTTATTTGACACGCAGAGTTACTTTGAGAGGGGGGACAGAGAGGAAGAGGGAGAAATGCTCCATGTTCTGGCTCATTCCTCAGGGCCATGACGGAAGTTGAGCAGCCGGGCCGCGACGCTTCAACATGGGAAACCTCGCCGCTAACAGTGCTTTGGCGGTACTACTGACCCCGACAGAAAACCTTTTTCCTGGTTTTCTATAAAGTCCTAAAGAGATTTTAACTGAAAATGTAAATCTTCTGAAAGATTTTCTGGAGAAACTCAGAGACCAGAACTAAACTCTCTAGCACCCCAAGATTTAGAGATTGAAAAGACGTGGAGAAAAAAATTTTTTAGGATGCAGAGACCCAGAGCAGATAAGATAGGCTCTTGGAAACCAAGAGACGAAAATATTCTAGAAGGAAGGGCAAGGTCAGTTTTGTTGATGGCTTGTGAAGGTAAGACAGGAAAGTTATAGGGAGACCGAGGCAGAGTAAAAGCGATTATAGTATATTGAGAACTGGTTTTGTGGCCTGGGCTCGTAGTCTGGGTCACCTCTCTGTTGGGGTGAGAAAGAGCGGGGAGAATTTCTTTAAAAGTGTACCCAACGCTCGCCTCCGCCCGGAAAACACTTTTAGCAAGACAAAAGTGCCTTCCAGCCTTTAGCTTATCATGAAAATGGAAGGAAGTTACCAGTCACGCTCATCAGGTGGCTTTTTGTTTTATCAGAAACAAGCTGGAAAACAAATAAAAACAAGCTAGATGGGCCTTTCTCCTGCACCCTTGTTGATTGTGAACCGAGGTTCCAGTCACCAAAATGGTGCCTACGAGATACTACTGCCACCATTTTATTTGGCCTTTCCTCTCTTGGCGCCCCCTGCTGACACAATGAGAGATTTCTCTTAAATCGATTTTAACACTGAAATTGCATGAAAATTCTTTAATGTGAGACAATAATCGAGGTTGCCTTCGAATTCCCTGTGACAATTTCAGGACATCTTTGTGCTCAAAATCATTGATAAAAATATAAATAAGGTTTGCTTCTATATGTTGACATCTATATTTGCTGTATGAGAAATTAAAACAGCAGCTTAAGATGAATAATTCAGTAAACTTTTCATAATTATTGCAAAAGATAATTTCATTGTTTTTGCAAATTTCCATTTATTTCTTCTCAGTTATCCCAGTATGGGTATGCTGTTTACATTTAAGTAAGAAAATCAGTTCTCACAGGGTGCAGGATTAGCCCCGCGTCGGGCTCCTGACCCACTGGCAAGGGTCCCAGCACTTGTCTTCCAGGTACGTGAGAAAGGTAGCTTACATTTCTGGGTTACTAAGCCAGCCCCAACGCAGTTGGTACAGCCTCAGGTAATGCAGATGTGAACGCAATGAAAAGGTAAGGCAGTTCTTGGGAACCAGATTTTGAAAATGCTGCTTGAAAATCATACGCATGAGATGCAAAATACCTTTAAACTTTATGTCAGAAAAAAAAAAAAAGAATGAAGAGCTGGTTTAGTTGATGGCAAAGGAAGAAGGCTGTAGGACAGGACAGGGAATGCCGAGAGCTGTTCTGTCAGAAAGGCTAGCTGGCAAAGTGGGAGAGAATGGGAATAGGAGAGAGGATTTTGAGAAACTGGTACTTGATGTTAAGATGTCACCCCCCAAAATGACAAGACATAGAAGAAAGCAAGGAAAACTAAGTCAACTGAAAGTGTGCCTCACGGGGAAAGTTTACAAAATTCAAGCAGTAACACATTTCAACAATATGGTTAAAACAGCATTTCTAGGCAAACGGTAGAAACGTTGATCAAACATAATAACAGTTGTGATAGCAACAGAGATGCATATTATTGATTGCTTCGAAAATGAAACACGTAAGTGAAGGTTCTATTTCTTAAGAAAGTTTTATGGGTTGTTATTTTAAGAACCTAAATGCTCAGAGTCACAAAGTAGCCTGGACCTGCTGGGTTCAAAAATTGAAGGAGGCACTGAATTCTCACTCTCAGGTGCACCTTGGCAATCTTTGAATATGAATGGCTCCTTTAATTTGGTACCCTAGCACCTCACTTAAGGCTTTCAAAGAGTGTTACCTTGAATTTCTGCCACATTTGCACTACAAATGCCTAGTTTTACCTTCTCCTAGTCCCAGATTCACCCTTTGCTTAACACCCCGCCTCTTATTAGTAGTCTTTTACTTCCTAAATGACCTACCAGGAAGTGGTGAGACCTGATGCTGTTTTAGTTTTCAGCCTGTTGAGATTGTTAGAAAGTTTGATTCTCTGTGATCTTGCAACACTGGCTTACCTCTTGTCTCCTTCCCCAGGTACGGGGCTGCCTGAGGTCTGTGGGTCTGAGGAATCCAGGTTGGACTGACCTGCTGTCTACAGGAACAGTTTGCTTGGGTGTTTGATGTCTGACAGTTCACCTTGAGTGCACCTGCTCCCAAACCAGACGGCAGCCTGCCAGTCCTCTCCTCCTCAGAGTTTACACCAGGAACAGGACCCAAACACCACCAAGGAGCAGTAACCAGGATGTCCAAAACACTCAGCTCACAGCACATCCCAGAAGACGCCTACTGTGAGGTCCACCTGGAGCCACCACAGCTGTTCTGTGAAGATGACCAAGTCATACTCTGCAGCAAGTGCTCCCAGTCTCAGGAGCACAAGCATCACCTGGTATACGGGATACAAGAAGCTGCTGACAATTACAGGGTAAGCCTCTCTGCCCATCACAGGGCACTCTAGCCAGCTTGGGTTGATTGATTAATTGAGCAGAAGTTATGATCTGTCCAGATGTTGATGAAAGTGTAACAAACAAGTACCATGCTCAGCTGAGCCTTCAATTCCATGGCGAACAACAACAACCAAATACAGTCTATTCTTAGCCATTCAATTGTCTAATGCTAGGAATCCAACTCTCCTAAAGTGATGAACTTATCCAACGCTCTGTGACCTGTTTCTCCACAGAATTCATTCCAGGAAATGTTAAACACATTGAGAGAGAAACTTGAAGTAGCTAAAAGTGTATTGGCTGATGAGCAAGAAAGAATGGTGATGATTCAGGTCAGTACTTGTCTTGATTCTAGGAAGAAATACATTAATGACGTCGGGTAGCAAATAATGTAAACAAAGTCCAAAAATAAGCTGGAAAAATTTCTCAAATCCACAAGGATGAAAAATGCTAACATCTAAATGTATGGAGAGCTCTTAAGTCAATATGAAAAAGTCTAGAAATTCAATGTAAGAATGGAGAAATGAAAGTTTATTTTAAAAAAAAAAGGCACAATGTTTAAGATCTATTTTATTTGAAAGACAGTGACACAGGGAGAGACCTTGCATCTGTTGGTGCTAATTGAGTGCCACAACCTCAACTGAGGTAGGCAGAAGCCAGCAGCCAGGAATGCATCCAGGTCTGCCATGTGGCGGCAGGGGCCCACATACTTGGGCCATCTTCACCTCCCTTCCCAAGTGCATTGTGTGGGAGCATGACTCAAACCGATGCTGTGATACTGTCCAAGTGACTGTTTAATCCACTGGCTACCATAGCCCTGGCCCCTGCAAAGCACCATTTACACATACCAAAGGGCTTGAGCTTTGCTAGAGATGCAGACATATAAATTAACTAGATTAATTTGTTATGAAGTAGCACTTTCAACCTTTATTGGCAAGAATCAATAAGTTAACAATTTATAACAATAGCATTAAAGGAACTAATATCGTGGATCATAATGGTAGCCATGTAAATTGTGAAACTTTTTTAAAAGATTGATTTATTTTTATTAGAAAGGCAGATGCACAGAGAGGAGGAGACTCAGAAAGACCTTCCCTCTGCTGGATCACTCCGCAGGTGGCCACAACAGCCTGAGCTGAGCTAATCTGAGGAGCCAAGAGCCTCCTCTAGGTCTCCCACACATGATCAGGATCCCTAAGCCCTGGGCCGTCCTTGACTGCCCTCCCAGGGCACAAGCAGGGAGCTGGATGGGAAGTGGACCATCTGGGACACAAACCAGTGCCCATTTGAGATCTCGGTGTATGCAAGGCGAGGACTTTAGCCTCTATGCTACCATGCCGGGCCAATTGTGAAACCTTTTACAGAATAATTTGAGAAATGCTACCAAATCGAGACCTCGTCATCTATTATACATATCAATTTCAAACTGAGTGTTCAATTTTTAACCCCGTTCCATTTCACATGTTCCAGAGCTCTGGGTCTTCTTTTTCTTAGTTGTTATAGAAAAATAAATGTCCAGTTGTAGATGACAGAGGAAGAAAATAGTGTAACCGCAGAAGAATTTTTCAACCCGTTCCCATATTTCCCCAAGCATCGTACATTCATCAAAGATTAAAATCCCACTACTTGGCAGGCACGATGTGAAGTGCTGAGGGGCAGGAAAAGCAATTCTGAACTTGCAAGATTTACATTTCAGTGGACATAAACAAAATCAGTTGAGGGTTTTACATGATGGATACATTTTTAGTAAATTGGCCCAAGTCCTTGCATTCAGAAAATTGTATTTCAGAAGACTCGAAGAGGTGTGGGGTGAAGGGACACAGTTCTCTTAAACAAGATTATTTTGGGCAGAGGGAACACCCGTGTGGAACCGCATGAACAAAGTGGAGATTTTTAGAGGATGTAGCAAACGAGAAAAGGGTCCCAACATGGAATGCAGTTAGCTTTAAACAGCATGAGAAAACCTCTGCGAGGTTTAAGGGAGCAATGGCGATGTCCCTGCCATTTTCATGTTAATATTCTAGCTGCCAAGGTAAGAATAGAGGCTGAGAGCAAAGGGGAGGAGATCTGGATGGAAAGGCATGGCTGCTGTCACCAGGCCCAGGCGGTAAGAAGCCGCTGGCTCTTGGCTATATCAGGAGATGAAATATTATCTCTCCAATAACTGATTTCGGGGTCAGCATTTTTAGGTCAATGAGCGCAGCTGCCTGTGATGCCCGAGTCTCAGATGGGTGCTGGGTGGAGTCCTAGCTGCTGTACTTCATTCCAGCTCCCCCTGGGAGAGCAGTTGAAAATGGCCCAACTCCTCGGCCCCCTGCCATCCACTCACATGGCAAGTCCAGATGCGGTTCCAGGCTCCTGGTTTCACCACAGCCACTGCAATCTTTTGGGATGGAAGATTTCTCATTCTCTCTCTAAATCTGTCTTTTCAAGTATATTAATGAATCTTTTAAAATACTACTTCCATATACATTATCTTCAGCCCAGACTTCCAAATGGAAATTTATATGTCCAAATTCCCGCTTGGCATCTCTTTCTGGATATTTAATGGGCCAATCAAATTCAGCCATATCCAGAGCTGAGTTTCTAATATGCTCCCTACCTCTGAAATCTAGCCTTTGTGTAGATACTCTATGAGGGTTAGTCAGTGTCTTCCAGTTGCTTGGTCAAAAAGCCTTTGTGTAGGGCCCGACGTGATAGTGTAGTGGTTAAAGTCCTCGCCTTGCATGCGCCGGGATTCCATATGGGCGCAGGTTCTAATCCCAGCGCTTCCCATCTACCTTCCCTGCTTGTGGACTTTCTTTTATTTTTATTGGAAAGGTGGATATACAGAGAGGAGGAGAGACAGAGAGAGAGGAAGGTCTTCCATACGATGATTCACTCCCCAAGTGAGTGCAACGACCGGTGCTGACCCGATCCGAATCTAGGAACTTAGACCCTCCTCCAGCTCTCCCACACAGGTGCAGGGTCCCAAGGCTTTGGGCTGTCCTTGACTGCTTTCCCAGCACACAGCAGGGGGCTGGATGGGAAGTGGAGCTGCCGGAATTAGAACCGGCAACCATATGGGATCCAAACGCGTTCAAGGCAAGGACTGTAAGCCGCTAGGCCACTGCACCGGGGCCAAGCCTTTGGGCTTACATTGATCTTTTTTTTTTTCCCACACACCCCTAACTAAATCACATTTTAATGGCACTAACATCTGGTCTTCCTTGTTCACAGAAGCTGTAGCTTTTCAGCTTTTCTGAATTAACTTAGGTGTATTTCCTGCTTTAACCTCGTGGTGATTTCTTCACTGATTTTGAAGCACATTTTCTTTTTGCATTTGGATTTCTTTCCCTGTACTTTATATTTTCTCATCTTTGTACTGGAGTTAGAGAAGGAAAAACAAGTACGTTGTGGTCAATGTGTTATGTTTAACCTCAAATCTATCTGTGTCTATGAGGAAGGAAGAGGAGCAGAATTTTAAAAGGATGATTGAGTCTGAATATAGAACAAAGTTCCATTTGCTGAGTGAAGAAAATTACCGGAACTCTCTGAAGCTTGAAGAATACATGTGTGACTCACATTTGAGAGAAGCCAGTGTGACTCTCCTGGCCAAGTTCGGCATGGAGCTGGAGGAGAAGTCCCGAGAAATGCTACAGGTGAGTTGTTGAAAACAGCGTCTGTCTGTATTTAAGACATAAACAATGAGTAAGTGTGCCAGTTGCAGAATAAGACGTCCAGGGACAACTGTAGATGTGTTCAATAACTGTATATAACCATTCGGCGACTATGTTTATGCTTACAGCAATTCAGTGTCTGTGTGTTTATCCTTATCCGTGCATGAAAAGGCACGGAGATGAGCCAGCGCCGTAAACGGGCTTCACTATACTTCACTATAAGCCATTGGTCAGAATTTAATTTTTGAAAACATGCTGTTGGAGCTTTTGTCCAGGATTTGATCTTTGTGGGTCTGTTGCTTAACCTCTGACTCAAGTCCTTCAATTGTAAGAAGGAGCTAACATTGTTCTCTAATTATAATGTTGCTGTGAGGTCTGAGAAAGATAAGACCATACTCCATCAAATAGTGTCTTGCTGGGTTGGTGTGAAAGCATAGTGGGCTAAATCTCTACCTGCAGCTCCAGCATCCCATGTGGATGCTGGTTCAAGTCTCAGCTGCTCCACTTCCAATTCAGCTATCTGATTATGGCCTGGAAAAATGACCAATGCTGGCCTAAGTCCTAGGATCCCTGCACCCACATGGGAGATTCAGAAGAAGCTACTGGCTCCCAGCTTTGGGTGGCTCAGCTGCAGCTATTGAGTCCATCCAGGAAGTGAACCAGTGGATGGAAGATCTCTCTCCCTCTCTTTGTGCCTTCTCTCTGTGAAATTAAACAACTGATGAATAGTGCATATTATTATCACTCATATAGCATTTATTGCTAGTAAGAGATTAGACAAAACCTGCAGGAGTGAACATCTTACTTAGTAGTTAAGACTCTTGCATTCCATACCCATAGGGCGTGTGTTTGAGTGCTGCCTCTGTCTCCAGCTTGTTGCTGATGCAGCTGTAATGGCTGAAGTCATTGGGTTGCTGCCATCCATGTGCGAGAACCAGATAGAGTTTCTGGTTTCGGCCTCAGCCTAGCCCTGGACATTGAGCACGCACACACTCTCTCTCTGTCCTCCGCCCCCCATTATCTGGCTTCCTGCATCTCAAATAAATAAATGTTTAAAATGTGAAAAGACAGAATTTGCATTATCAACAAGCAACTCGCAGATAAATCGTACTATATATATAATGTGGAGTACTCTTGAGCATGTGGAAGGACACCATGGCTCTTGGTGCAGGAATAGGGAACCCGGCACTCTCCAAGAAGCAACTTTTCTCATGAATGCTTCAATATAATATGCCGTTGTTTATGGATATTTTGGATTTTTTCCTTAAATAATCATGCTTATCAAGGTAGAATGCACATGAAAGGATAGAAAGAAAATGCTTAGCAGTTGCTTAACTATTAGTAATTAATTGATGCAATTTACTTTATTTAAATTGCTTATATTTCAATGGGAATTTAATGAAGAAAATAGAAGAGTGCAGTGTGCTTTAGGTGCATATTAATCTGAGTATTTGGGCTACTTGTAAACACATCCCTCTTGAATTAAAACATATCAAATATCAATTATTATACTTCTGGTGAGCTGTCCAGCTTGACAAGGCCTTAATTATGTCCAGTTTTAAGTGGCAGGCAGAATAACAGGTTTCTAATGATAGAGTTGAGTTAGAATTAGTGAATGGGATGTTACCGGTTGGAAAAATAACAAAAAATACTTCTGCAGAGACTGACTGTTCTGGGGAGAGAGAACATGAACAAGCTGAAGGAGAGTGAAGCCCGGGTTTCGGAGCAGATCTGCAGCATCCAGAGCATCATCACGGAGCTCAGCGACAAGTGTGAGGAGCCTGCCTTCACAGTGCTCCAGGTAAACCTCTGGGCAGGAAGTGGGACGTGGACAGTCCTCATGCGGGAACTCGGAGAACATGGTGTCCAGGGCTCCGCAACCATGCACGAGGTCCTCACCGCTGTTTTCCAGTTGCTTTCTGAATTGTCATAAACTTATGGGATTCTGTCAGTTACTATGAGATGAGTTTTCATTGTAAACTTATCAAAGAGCAGGTTTGACCTAATTATTCTTCCATAGGATCCATTGCCAAATTGTGGTATATCATATTTTCTTTTTGTTTTTATGTTTTTATTTATTTGAAAGGCAGAGTTACAGATAGAAAGGTCTTTCACCTACTGGGTCCCCAAATATTTGCAACTGCCAGACTGAAGCCAGGAACCCAGAACTCCGTCTGGGTGTCTCATGCAGGTGCAGAGGTCCAAGGACTTTGGCCATGTTCTGTTGCTTTCCCAGGCACATTAGCAGGGAGTACAGAGGCCTTGAACCAGAGCTCATATACAATTTAACCCTCGGTGCCATAATGCTGGCTCCTCCATGTTATAGCTTACAAGCATAGAAAAGATGCTGAAATACTTTTTGTTTGTTTTATACCAAAGAAGCAAATATGTATGTACATATGTGCTTGCTAACATGCACAGCTATACTGTGGGAAGCTTAAAGAACTATGCACAATTAAATACTAAAAGTTAGGCGGAATGGCATTGTGGTATAGTGAATGAAGCCACTGTGATACTAGCATCCCATCTGTATGCTGGTTCATGTCCTATCTACTCCACTTCTGATTCAGCTTCCAGATAATAACCAAGAAAAACAGCATAAGATGGCCCAAGTGCTTGGACTCCTGTCACACATATGGAAGTTTAGATGAGTTTGCCCAGCCCTGGCCTTCACAACCATTGGGGGAGTGAACCAGTGGATGAACTCGGCTTTCTCTGTATACAGTTTCTGTTACTTTGCCTTTAAATAAATAATTAATTAATTAAAAGTAAAGCATTCATATACTTTGTCTAACCAAAATATGTACAAGACATGTCTGCTTAATTACCAACAACATTGCAAACCAAGGTGAGATCTATTTGTATGGCGTATGGTAAGGTCCAAGTGTTGTTATTTCCAATCCCCAGCCCCCAACACATGTGTACTTTGGAAATTCTCACCTCAAAACGTGATAGTATTAGGAGGAGGACCTTTGGGAAGCTATTAGTCCTGGGTACAGATGCCATGAACTCATTAGTGCCTTTATAAAACTTCAAAACCAATTATCCCTTTCAAAACAGTAAACAATCTACAAGAATTCAGCAGACATCAAATCTACCAGGGTGTGGGTCTTGAAATTCCCAGACTGCAGAGTTGCAAGAAATCCTGTTGCACTAAGTTTCCTGGACTCTGTTGTATTTTATTATAGCACTCTAACCAGACTAAATATTTCATATGTTAAACTTTATATACTAGCACACATTGCCTTTTTAGAAAGTAACTATTTTTTAACATCTGTTGTGTTTCCCTTTGCAAGGTGAAAGATTGGATTATAAGTTTGTCAACTTAATATCTCTTGACAAACCATTAGGAAAGTGTTAAGTTCTGGAAATTCTGGAGCTAAATCTAGTTTCAGACTGTTTAGGCAGATAGGTCTCAATTATGTTCAGATCCTGAGCTGTCTGCAGCTACCCGTGCCAGCCTTCCTCTGCTTGGGTCTAACCATCACCATCACAGAAAGCTAATAGACTGCACCATCTGAAGGGTTTTGACTTATCACATGAGGCTGAAAAAAAATTACAGGAACATTGAGTTCGTTATTGCAAAAGAAGATATTTTCATGAGTTAAGCTCTGGGGTGGGAAGGAGGGAACACCTTGGTTCAAATACCCCCGCAGTGACCTTGTCTCTTTCTCTTCTTAGAATGCAAGACATATTTTGGAAAGGTAAGTACTCAGAGTGGGATGTGCTGATGAGCACACGAGGGTGGGACTGCTGGGAGAGGAAGAGGGAGGTCCTTTTGGCAGAATGTGGTGAGGTCCAGCTTGGAGGGCGAGGACTGGGGTCTGTGCACATCGCTGAGATTGTCCTTTCTTTATAGGAGCAAGTCTCTCCTGCTTCAGTGTCTGGAGCCTGCTCATATCACAGAGATGAGTTTGTGCCATATAAAAGGAATGAGCAAAATGCTAAGAGTGCTCCAAAGTAAGTTGACACCTACCCATGATTTTAGGGCCCTTTGATTTTTGTAGTTAAGAATCAAGTGACCACACCATCGTAAACAAAACTAAGCTCTACTAGTTTAAAGATTTAGCAAAATTTAAGCCCGGCGCGATGGTGTAGTGGTTAAGGTCCTCGCCTTGCACGCCCGGGATCCCATATAGGCGCCGGTTCTAATCCTGGCAGCCCTGCTTCCCATCCAGCTCCCTGCTTGTGAAAATAAATCTTAAAAAAAAAATTTAGCAAAATTTGTATGTATTAGCGTTCAACAAAATAGCTACATGATTATTTGTTAAAAATTTTTTTCTGCAAATATTCTTTATGACTTTTCCAACCCTAAAACATAAATGCAGACAGATTTTCATTACTTAAAAATATAAAACTTCCTGGGGGAAAATGCTAGCATACATGACAAAATTTATGTCTTCTTTAGCTATGGCTTTGCCATTTTCCAGACTTTAGTTTCAGTGAAACCACAATGTCTGGCCTTTTGAATCCTCCTGGCTCACTTGGCAAAGCAGAATAATGACGCGTCAAAATCAGTGGTTTTTTTTTTTTTAATTGTTGGGAGTATTTTATGCGAGGATATATGCTCATTTATGCTTTTCCAAGTTCATGGACACCTAGTTGCACTCAACTTTTTGCTATAAATTTGACACTGAATTTTTGTGTAGATATACTTCATATTGCTTGATTCAGAAGGAGGATTACAAATTGCTTTCCAAATTGTCAGTACCATTTTGCATTCTTACTAGTAACGGTTGTTGCTACATCCTCTCCAGCTTTTCTTACTTATTTTTTTTAAAGATTGATGTTATTTTTATTGGAAAGGTAGATATAGAGAGGAGGAGAGACAGAGAGGAAGATCTTCCATCCGATGGTTCACTCCCAAAGCAGCCACAACGGCTGGAGCTGAGCCAATACAAAGCCAAGACCCAGGAGCTTCTTCCTGGTCTCCCACACAGGTGCAGGGTCCCAAGGCTTTGGGCCGTCCTCAACTGCTTTCCCAGGCCACAGGCAGGGAGCTGGATGGGAATTGGGGCTGCTGGGATTAGAACCAGCGTCCATATGGGATCCCAGCATGATCAAGGCGAGGACTTTAACCACTAAGCCACCGCACCGGACCCGTTATTTTGTTTTTTAGAGCCAACCTTGTACATGTGTAATGGTATCTCATTTTTAAAAATTTGTATTTCTGGAATTTGTTCTCTTTTTTTATTTAACATTTATTTATCTTACATGTGCTTTGCGAATAATTTCTCCTCATTAAATTTGTATTCTTGTTTCCCTGACCATGTCTTTTAAAGAATAGAAGTTTTGTGTTTTTGATGAAGTTTAATTATGAATTGTTCCATTAGGACTTGTGTTTCATCTATAACTTATTTGCTTTCTTTGTAGTTTTGAGTTTACATTAGGTCTGTGATCCATTAGGAGTTAATATGTGCATATATCTCAAAAATGGCACAAATATTTTGTTCCTGTTTCTCTCTCTTTGGTTTGTTTCTGTTTTGGCAAATGAGCAGGCAGTTTTTCCAGGGCTGTCTGCTGGTGAAACAGATATCATTGCTTGATTGAATTGACTCGACACCCTTGTTGGAAATCAATTTGCATATATGACCAGGTCTAATTATGGATTATAACAGTCCTGTTCATCATTGAGTCTATTCTTTTACCAATACAACATTGGCTTGGTTGATAGCCAAATAGCATTGAAGGAAAATGCTGTCAGTTTGCCAAATTTATTCCTTTCAGAATTTATTCTAAATTCTTTGCTTTTCTATATAAAGTTTCAAAGTCACCTTGTTGATGCTTCAGAATAAGCTTCCTTGGGATTTGGTGGATATTACCTTGAATCTGCAGACCAGTTTGGGGAACACTGCATATTGACAATACAGAGACAGAGATTTCAGAGAGAATGGGCAGAGATGGAAACATCTCATCTTCAGGCTCGTCCTCTAAATGCCTTCCATAGCTAGGGCTTGCACAAGCTGACACCAGGCACCAGAAACTCCGCGTCGTTAAAGCAAGAAGCCAAGTACTTGGACCATCCTCTGGTGCCTGCCAGGCACATTACCAGGAAGCTGGGTCACAAGTGGAGACACAAATGTGAACAGGATGTGGACATTCCAGATGGCACCTCAACATACTGTGCCACACATTTGCCCCAGTGATTTGTAGTTCTCAGCATTCAAATATAGGTGTTTTTTTTTTTTGGGGGGGGGGGACTATAATACTTGATTACTTTTTTTTGAAGATTTATTTATTTTTATTACAAAGTCAGATTTACACAGAGGAGAGACAGAGAAGAAGATCTTCCGTTCGATGATTCACTCCCCAAGTGAGCGCAACGGCTGGAGCTGAGCCAATAAGTCAGGAGCCTTTTCCAGGTCACCAAGGGGGGTGTAGGGTCCCAAGGCTTTGGGCCATCCTTGATTGCTTTCCCAGGTCACAAGCAGGGAGCTGGATGGGAAGCGGGGCTGCTGGGATTAGAACCAGTACCCATATGGGATCCTGGTGCGTTCAAGGCGAGGACTTAAGTCACTAGGCTATTGTGCCGGGCCATAATACTTGAATTTTTTAGAGCTATTATAAATGTTTTTAAACATCAGTTTTTAATTTACACTTCATTTATTTCTAATTTATTATGGATATCTAGAAATCAAAACTGTTTATACGTTTGAGTCCTACAGCTATGTTACACTCATTCATAGCGACTTATACAGATAGATTCCCTGTGATTTTCTAATGAAAAACTAACGTTATCTGTAAGTATTGTCAGTTTCATTTCTTTCTTTCTAATCTGCCAGCATATCTCTTATTTTTCTTGCCTTATTTGTATTGGCTTAGGTTTTTAATATGTTGAATAGGAGTCAGCAGAGTGGACACTTGTCTTCATCCTGACCTTTAGGAAGAAGAAATTTAAAATTTTCACCTAAAGTTTCCTGTTAGCTATGGGTTCATATAGTTTCACTTCATCTTGTTGGAGGAAGCTTCTCTGTTCTAGTTTGCTAAAAAAATTGTGTCATTCATATATAGTAAGTTAAAGTATAAAACTGTTGTGGTGCATTAAGCTTGCTGCTATTGTATTTGAGAACTCTATTTGGTGTCAGCTGCTCTTAATCTAACTTCCTGCTAAAGTAACTGGAGAGGAGGCAAAGGACAAAGTGCTTGCTTGCTGCCACCCATGTGGGAGACCGGGACGGATTCCCCTTTGGCCAGGCACAGACCTCGCTTTTCAGACATCTGGGGAAGGAACCAGATGATCGAGTATAGCCTCTCTCTCTCTCTCTCTGTCATTCTGCCTTTCAAATAAATAAAAACCAAATCTTTTTTAAGAAAATCCAAAAGTATTCAAGAGCTTTTTATATATCTTGACAGGTTCATTTTTTTTCTTCTGTTAATATGGTAAACTATATTGATCGATTTTTCTATATTGAGCTAGTCTTGTCATTTCCAGGTTAGACACTTAGAAATGATGCTTTACCCATTTTATACGTTGCTGTATTTCGCATATTAATATTTTGTTAAGATTTTATGCATTCGGGGCCGGCGGCGCGGCTTACCTTGAACGCACCTGGGATCCCATATGGGCGCCGGTTCTAATCCCAGCAGTCCCACTTTCCATTCAGCTCCCTGCTTGTGGCCTGGGAAAGCAGTCAAGGGCGGCCCAAAGCTTTGGGACCCTGAACCCGTGTGGGAGACCCGGAAGAAGTTCCTGGCTCCTGGCTTCGGATCGGCATAGCATTGGCCGTTGCACTCACTTGGGGAGTGAATCATCGGACGTAAGATCATCCTCTCTGTATATCTGACTTTCCAATAAATAAATAAATCTTTTTTAAAAAAAGATTTTATGCATTCATATTCATGAAGGATATTATTCTTTCACTATTTTTTCTTGTAATAATCAAGTGCTAATTTTACCCTGATTGGTTTTGGTTTGAGTAATCTATTTCGTTCATTATCAGATCGGTTTAGTCTTTGTTCCTGTATTTCCTATATCTTACAACTACTCCTAAAGTTCCTTTTTCCTTTCTAGCAGTGTGCCTTAAGAGCACATGCTTGATGTTTCACGTTTCTGAAATTCTTTACAGGTTTATTTCTGCCAGTTGCACTCATTAGCAATTTTAAAGTGTGTGCATAATGATTTTTGATAGTACATTTCCCGTTCTTTGTCATATTATTTTTAGAAAGTCTTCGCTGCTGCTAGGAATGAAAACGTGTATTTTTCCAGAGAAAGTCTACAGTTGTTTCTGCCAGCCTTCTGTAGACATTAAGGGTCTTGGACAACCTGAAATTTAAAGTGCAAGGCCTGTGCTCTTTGAGACCATTCTAATCATGTGAATTGAGCTTCCAGTCCGAGCTTTAAGTCAGTTTCATTTACTGGAGTTAAGGAACAGGTCTTGGTGCTGTTGGATTAGATGTTAGAAAAAGTAAGAAACAAAGGACTACCCTAGCTTCTGCTTTAATCACCGAGAGCAGTAAAGGTGCTGTTCAGTGAGAAGCATCGACTGCGGAGGACGCGAACGGGAGTTCCACTTTGGATATATTATGCTTGAAATTCCAATGTTATGTCTGAGTACTATTTGCCAATCTGTTTGTGGAATGAGCCATGAACATGTAGAAAACACTTTTAAGTAAACCAAGTCAAGTCACCAAGGGAAGGAGATATGAGACCGGTCAGTTTCAATCTTATTTCAGTTGTAAGGAATCATATTGAGCTTTCTTGTTGTGAGCTTGATTTTCTGGAACATTCCATAAGTTTTCCAGTCTCTGCTAGTACAAGGGCACTCTGCAAAGTTTGTGGGAAAATAGAAACGTGTATTTTGGGAAAAGATAATTTGAAAATCTGTATGCAATTTTCTAATAACATTTTCTATGAACTTGTTGAAGAGTATTTTCTATGAACTATATTGTATGCATAGACTTAAAAGCATTTATGTGATAAAGCCAACTCACTTTAATTCCATCTGCATGAACTTTTTGATGTATACTCAACAGTACTTAATATCAATGTTTTTTTAGGAATTCAAGTCACATTCTGGGGGAGATTTAAAATACCTGGACTGATTAGACAGATAAGAGCCAAATAACTTTTGTTCTACGGTCAGACTTGTGTTTCTGACCGCTCCAGGCCTTATCAAGATCTTTAAGAAACTAGAGTTGGGACAGCCCCTTGGTTGAAGGTACTTCTAAATCTTCCATCAGTCCAGTATTCTTGATTTCATTCTTCTTCCTCAGGCACAAACATCTCTTTTGATTGTTTTATTGACTTCTTTTTCATGATGCTCACTTACCGAAGTACAGCTTGGAGATTCCTTTTCCTGGACCCTCCTCATATCTGTGCCCACTCAGCCACAGACCTGCATGGCAGTGTCTCTTGCATTGCTATCAATGAACTCCAAGGTTAACTTAATGTCTCTCTCCTTACAGGAAGCATAACTTTGGATCCTGAAGCGGCTCATGCCTGCCTGGTTTTATCAGAGGATCGGAGAAGCATGAGATGCGGCAATACCCAGCAGGCTGAGGCTGGCCACCCGGAGAGATTTGATTTTGGTGCCACGGTATTAGGTGTGGAATGCTTCACCTCTGGGCAGCACTACTGGGAGGTAGATGTGAGGAAGGCCACCAAGTGGCAGTTGGGTGTATGCAGGGATTCAGCGCAGAGGAAAGACAGCAGGCCCGGCAGCCCTGGGGAGAGAGTCTTACTCATGGGAGCCAAGATGGGGGCCGAGTACACCTTCTGGGTCTTCCCACCTTTAAAAAAAGTCCCCCTAAAAAAGCAAATACTGCAAGTTGGGGTTTTTCTAGACTATAAATATGGGCAGGTATCCTTCTATGATGCAATGGAAGGATCCCTCATTTATAACTTCTCTTGTCTTCCCTTCCAAGGAGCTCTTAAGCCTGTATTTTCTCTTTGTATCCCAAATGGAAGCACTGATTCAGACAGTCTCACTGTTTGCCCTCCTCGTGTTCTTTCTTGAAATGCTACTGTGAACCCTTAACCTTCCATTATGGGTTAACCCAACACTGCAAGAAACCAGAAGGCTAAGAACAAGGCTTTGTGAAATAATGTATATAAAGTTATTCAATAAAAGACTGGCTTGAACTGGAATCCATTTTAGTTGAGCCTTTGCACTGATGTGACTGTCAATGCATGTTTACTGGAAGAAGTTGCACGTAAGTTGAATTCTGAATGATGGTAACTGAGAGATAATAGGCTTGTTAGAACAACGAGTGCCTAACACATCATAGGCTGGAGTAATCAGAGAATCAATATGTTCTAGGATGGTGAAGATTAGGTTAAGAATTCTTGCTATGTTGAAAACACTTGCAGAATGACGTATAATTAGGAGGAAACACAGGACCTTGGATTTGAGTCTATCATCAGAGTGCCTTGTTGAAGTAATATCCTGTCACTGACATTCAGGCCTAATTTTGTCAATGGTACCAAGACTTCTAACATTTATTATTCCAAATAGAGAGCTATTACTTAATATGCCTATATATTTTATGTAGACAGCAAAGAGGTATTGTAGTAAATGTGAATTTTCAAAAATAGTTTTGAGGTGGTTTTTTCTGCTTCTCTGACAAGGAAAAATTCAGTCTTTGAAAAGGAACCCCACAGTTCAAGGCTTCAAAACACACAAGAAATATTGTAAAGATGTATTTGCTCTCCTTTTTCTTTGATAAACCACTGAAAAATGCTGTGTCCTAAATCCCTGCCCAGGTGGTTATATAATGCTGAGAAGAAAGCAAAATATTTACTGGGGGACTTTTATATGAAACATTTACATACTTCATCTCCCTCAGTGTGTTAAGCAATCTATTAAGTATTATTAATCTTATTACTCAAGTATAGAAGATGAAGCTCAGCTGGTTTAGCTTTCCTGAAGTTAGGTTTCTATGAAGTAACAAGGATAAGGAACTAAATATAGATTACCATGTGAAAAGACGAGCCCTGCGTGAAATTTTAATACATGGGCTCCTACTGTGATGGCTAGCATAGAGGGCAGTGATTCAGTTCTATCCAAGTTTTCTAAAAATGTAAGCCAGTTTCTACATGAAATGGTGGAAGCGTGTTAGTTGCATTGTACTGTGTGTGTTGCAGAAGCTAAGTTCTTCAAGATAGGAAGAGATAAATATGAGAAAATTGCTTGTGTTAATTTCAAATGTCTGGATGTTATAGCCTTAATCATTTGCCTTTGGGGGAACATTTTTTTTTTATTTGTTTTCTCTGTGTCTGTCTACATCTCAAAGACATTCAGCACGTGCGTGCACACACACACACACACATTTCTCTTCTACTACTTCATTCCCCGGATGCCAGCAGTACCTTGGGCTAGACCAGCCTGATTCCCCCCCAAGTCGGGTACTCATTGTAGATGCCCCATGTGGGTAGAAGGTACCCTTTACTGAAGCAACAAGGTCTGCATTAGCAGAAATCTGGAAGCAGAAACACAGCAGAGATCTGCTCAAGCACTCGGAGAAGTGGTGCAGGCATCCCAGGTGGCGTCACCACAGTACTAAGCACCGCTCATGGGGAAGCTTTGCACTGAACAGCTAGGATTCTCCTGGCTCCTGGCTTCAGATAGCTCAGCTGTGGCCGCCGCGGCCACCTGGGGAGTTAATCAACAGATGGAAGATCTTTCTCTCTGTCTCTTCTTCTCTCTGTATATCTGACTTTCCAATAAACATAAGTAAATCTTTAAAAAAGAAAAATCTGCAGCCCAGGTTTTACACCCTGTGAAAACCATTCTCATTTTGAGGCAGTAATAAAAGTGCCAGGATTATGTTCCTTCTCAACACTAAAGACCTCATTTATAAGCTTTGTTTGATCAAAGTTTTTGGAGGGGTTCAATAGTTGACATTTTTTTTTTACTTTGAATAACAGAAAGCAAGTTCATCTTCATTATAGAGATGCTTCCTCATTTCTAGTTGCAATGAGCCAAGTTGTTCTACTTTGTATTGAGTTTTTTTTATTATTATTATTATTGAAAGGCAGATATACAAAGAGAAGTAGAGACAGATCTCCCAGTATTCATTCCCTAAGTGGCAATGGCCAGAGCTGAGCCCATTTGATGCCAGAAGCCAGGAACAACTTCTGGATCTCCCACACAGGTGCGGCGTTCCAAGGCTTTGGGCCATCCTCAACTGCTTTCCCAGACCACGAGCAGGGAGCTGGATGGGAGGTAGAGCAGCAAGGATACAAACTGGCATCCATATGGGATCCTGGCACAAGCAAGGCAAGGATTTAGCCACTGAGCCATCATGCCAAGCCCCATTATCAAAAGTCTAGGTTTTTAAGAAATCTTTGGCTAGGGATCAGAGATTGGCAAAAATTTTCTACAAAAACCAAAAGTTAGAAAAAGAGATAACTAATATTTTAGGCTTTATTGAAATCCTGACCCTCTTGAAGCCGAGTGTGGTCCTAGACAATACTTAGATGAATATGACCCTCTCACTCCTGACACCTGTTGTTAAGTTTCTCTATAGTCACTGGAGAGAGCCATTTAAAAAGATGCTTTCTTAGAGCTGTTTATTTGGAAAGTAGAACAAGAGAGTGAGGAAGAACATGATCTTTCACACACTGGTTTATTCCTCAAATACCCAGAGCAGCTGAGAACGAGCCTGACTCGAGTCACAAACCAGGAACTTCCAGGTCACGCATGCGGGTGGGAAGCAGCCAACTTCTCGAGCCTCCCCTGGTGCACACTATCAGGAAGCTGGGCTGCAAGCAGAGCAACAGGAACTTAACCAGGCACCCCGATTTAAGGCACTGGTATTTCAAGAGGTGACTGTCAACAATTCTCACTCCTGCGGGCAACCTGCGCAATGATGAATCGGGCAAATGGTATCAAGCTGACAAAAGCCTTTCAGTGGCTTCTCACTGCTTCTAGAATAAAGGCCTGGTCTCTCAGGAGATGCGTGGCTCAGCACACACTCACCATCTTGCCTGTCTCCCCTGCCTTTGAATTCCACTGTTAATAACTAATCCCAAACATAGAAACCAAAAGACAAAGCAGTGTGTCCTCACTCCAGGATGTTATCTCACACCATTACAAGGATTGTTTAAATTCTAAGAGAATTACTTGTTTTGACTTTGCTGTTTACCATTTACAGACAGTCTATACACTGTGAAGTTGAATTTTAACTTGGATTATTATCTAGGAGAAAATATCCTCTCAGAGGTTTTGGTTTGATTGCCCTGTAGAGTATTGGACAATTTTGTCTCTAGCCTAAGCAATCTTATTTTTAACATTCCTTTTTATCCATTGTAATCTTTATATCCAGTTTTTTAATTCTCTCAAAACCAGTTTCACCATCTGACTAGTTCCCTAATTAATGACTGAGTTACATCCTTAACAATATTCATCTGTATCTGCATGATGCTCCTGTTACGCTCTTGAAAATAGTACTTTGGATGAAGGTAATGTGACACAGCAAATTAGGCCGCCACTTGGGATGCCCCTGTGTGCTGGTTTGACTCCTGATGACTTCCAACTTCCTGCTAGTGTGTCTTAGGAAGGCATCGGAGACCCAGATGGAGTTCTTGGCTCTTGATTTCATCATGACCTAGCCCAAGCTGATGTCAGCATATTGGGGAGTGAATAAGCAGATTGAACACCATTTTTTTCACTCTGCATTTCAAGTGATAAAATAAAAAACAATAATGATATGTGATGCAACCTCGTGGTCTTCTAAAACAATGAATGCTCAATGAAGCCTTCCGGCCACAAGAGCTTTGCTTCTCCACTTCACTGTGCTTCATTCACAATTTACTTCTTTTAAATCAAGTGTGACACCTATGACATTTTGCATGCATCCGAGAAGGCTTCCTTCCCATCCTTGAAAGTAATCAATCCCAAGATTTGTTGCCACAGCTACAGCCTCTTATACTGCAAGGCATGGATTAAACAACACAGGTGATATGGAGGATTCACCTGCTGGGGCTGCCACAACAAAGTGTCAAATGGGCTTACACAACAGGAAGTTAATCTGGTACTGCTGGAGCCTAAAGGTCCAAAGTCAGTTCCTTCTAAGATAATTTCTACACATGATTCCTAACTTCGGATGTTTTACTGGCAGCTGTGTTGGTGCTCCTTGGCTTGTTGCTATAACATTTCCTCTTGTTTTCCCTGTGTCTGTCTTCACATGGGAAGTTTTCAAGATTAGGACACTAACCATACTACCAAGTTATGGATTCATCTTATTATAATGACTTTGTTTGAACTCAACAATAACTATTTCCCAATAAGATCACATTCTAGAGAAAGAGCTGCCATCTGCTATTTCACTCTCCAAATGCTTGGGAGCAGAAAATTCAGTCCAGGTCCCCCATATGAGATGCAAAGAAGCAAATATCTGAGCCACCACTGCTGGCTCCTCTGGTCTGCGGGAAGCTGGGGATGGAAGTAGAAACACGATTAAAACCTAAATACTCGTCTATAGGAAGCTAGTATGCCAAATGGTGTCTGTAGTGCAAGGCCTCTTCTACAATTCTCCCTCCTTTTAGTGCTTATTTTATTTATTTAACAAGCAGAGAAAGAGATTTCAATAGTGGGGAGAAACAGGTTGAAACATCATTCAACCTGTAACAAAATCGATATACAAATGATATTCCAGGGCACCAATCCATGTTCCTGCTGTTTCATTTCCAATCCAACTTCCCAATAATGGCTTAGAAAATGTAACAGAAGGTGGTCAAGTGATTGGACCCCTGCTACCCACCAGAAATATCTGCATGAAGATTATGGCCAACACTCAGTCCAGCCTGGCCTCCTCCCATCCCCAGCTCGCCTGCTCCAGTGGAAGCAATGGCCCAGCCCTTAAAATTCACCTATAGGCCTGTTCCCACATCCAGGCCTTGCACATGCCAGTAGCCCAGACTGAGATGGCCTGCTCCCATTCTCAGCATTTACCAGCAGATGTTAGTCTGGTTTAACCTAGCCTGCCCTAGTCCCAGCCCTCTGTCAGCAAATGCAGCAACCTAACCCACCATGGCTCACCCCCAGCCCTCTTGTGAACTGGTGAGTGTTGTCAAACTTGTCCTGGCTCTCGGCTCCTGCACCTGCTAGTGTGCAGTGGATTGGTCCTGCCCAGCCTACC